CAATCTCCTCATACTGTGCCTTGACCTAAGCGATGATGCTGTCCATGTCCAGGGAGCACTGTTGTCCATGGACAGCACCACAGACATGTCCAAGATCTGGGACTGCAGCTCCCGGATCTCCTCTTTATACAGACGCCTGAGGAAGTCGACTTTGTCAGTCAGCCCTTCCAGGCAAGACTGCAGCTCTACCTTGTTCATGTAAGCTGCATCCACATCCTTCTTCATGAGGACAAATTCATTCTCCATCTCTGTATGCTTATTGATCTCATCCTCATACTTATTCTTGAAGTCCTCCACCAGCCCCTGCATGTTGCCAAGCTCCGCCTCCAGCTTCAGCTTTTCCTGGCCCAGAGTCTCCAGCTGCTGCCTCAGGTTGTTGATGTAGCTCTCGGACAAGTTGTCCATGTTGCTCTGAGCCATCTTCTGCTGCTGGAGGAGGCTCCACTTGGTCTCCAGCATCTTGTTCTGCTGCTCCAGGAACCATACCTTGTCGATGAAGGAGACAAACTTGTTGTTAAGGGTCTTGATCTGCTCCTTCTCCTGGGTACGCATGGCCTGGATGTTGGGGTCCACTTCCAGGTTAAGGTGGCTCAGCAGGCTCTGGTTGACAGTGACAGCGGTGATACCTCCCATGCCCATGCCCATGCCACTGGCCCCAGCAGAGCCTGCACCCAGGCTACCCCACTCAGGAGAAGATCGAGGAGCTGATGCAGGCACTGGGCCCACTCGTGTAGGAGTGTCTGCTGAAGGCCTGGGGGCCAGAGGTGGACACCCTGTAGGACTTCTGGGTCACCCTGATGGACATGGTGGAGGCAGGAATGGAGGTAGGTAGGTTGAACCAGGGAAAGATTCCAGGAGCGGAGAAGCTGCTGCTTCTGGTTTTGGTTTTTAAAAAGCCATTATGTCCTCTAACCTTTTATTGTTCGTATATGTGAAAGCCATTGATTTTTGTATATTACGTCCTGTTATTTTACTGAATTCTTAGATTTTTTTCTTTCTTTTTTTTTTGAGATGGAGTTTTGTTCTTGTTGACCAGGCTAGAGTGCAATGGTTCGATCTCAGCTCACCACAACCTCCTGGGTTCAAGCGGTTCTCCTGCCTCAGACTCCTGAGTAGCTGGGATTATAGGCATGCACCATCACATCTGGTCAATTTTGTATTTTTTAGTGGAGATGGAGTTTCTCCATGTTGGTCAGGCTAGTCTCAAACTCCCGACCTCAGATGATCTGCCTGCCTCAGTCTCCCAAAGTTTTGGGATTACAGACATGCACCACCGTGCCCGGCCTAATTCTTAGATTCTTAACTCATTCTTATTATGCCTTTATTTTAAGCTGCAGTTTTTGATCCACTACCAAGGCACTTATCATTTCACTCAGGAAAGTGGATTTTTTTTTTTGTATGGCCACCACAGAAAAGCTACATTCTTTCTGAAAGAGTTATTAAGTGATTAAATCACAAGCAAACACTTGAAACTTGCACAATCTCCCTACAGATACTGCAATCCATTATAATTCTAGGATTAATTTGGTTAGTACAGACTTTGGTTAAATCTTTAAAACCCATTTGTAGCAAGAGAACAACAGGTGCCTATAAACCAAAGTTACGGGAGTCAACTTTCAGAAAATTGATTCTAAAACACAGATGAGTCAGATACTTCAGGAAGATCTCTTGGACATCAATGTTCAAGTTCAATGGAAAAAAGCACTCTAAAATGCACCTGTGAAATCCATTAAAAGGAGAAAGACACTAGTAAGGGTACCTACAATTCCTTTGAGCTCCGATACTCAGTGTAATAATGGATGGTAACTTCATGGCCTGAAGTCTGCTTAGAATGTCACTGTCCACCCAGGATTGGCCTCCCTGGACATGGTGAACCAATTCTGGTGTGCCTTATATAAATTCCTTCAGAATGATATACAAGCACATTCATAAATTACCTGGGACATACAGTATTATCTTTTAAGGCACTATTTAAATAATTTTTCCATAGGTCATTATGTTGTGGGTTTTTAATGTTCCTAGCAATAGCATAGTTTTTGGATCATTACTACAGGGACAAACTAAAACAAGATCAAAATGAAGTTCTTCAATATACAGTGTGAAAAGATACTGAGGAATTAGACTTTTTGAGAAAGCTTTGAAATTTAAGACTAGAAAGCTTAAACAAATCTGAACAATTGTCCTTCCAAGGAAATCACTGATATTCATATAGTTGCAGGGTAATACTGAGGCTCACAGCTCACATAAGGGAAAAAAGCTCACATTTTCCATCAGTTCACTCTAGATCACAAGAGTCATTAGAGCATGAAGACTGTCAAACTTTACACACAGGTCCTGTTACAGTTTAGGGGTCCTTTCTCATCAACCAAAGCATTTCAAGTCTATTCTCTTCAGAGAAAAGCTTAGCATGAATATATTTTTTCCATATCCCTGCCAGAAGGATGTACTCTAGTGATGATCACAATACCTAAAAGCTCTTCACTCTAATATTATAATAAGTTAATCATGTCTGGTAACCTATCAAAAATCATATACCAAATTCCACTAAGCACCTTGCTTCACACATCACTGAGACTGGAAGGGAGGGTGAGAATAAGAGACCATCAGAAGATTAAGACCCACGTAGGGGCCAAAAACCTAAGTTAACCAAGGGATATGTACCTACAACAAGTATTTTGAGATGAATTCCTTCCAAAACCTAATTTCACACATGAAAGAAGCAGCATTAAAGTTCAAGTAATATATATATTTGCTCAAAAAAGCAGATATAATGGCAAAGAAAATCTTCAAAGAACATCATCACTGTTAAATAAAGACAAATTTTAAATTTTAAAATAAAATAGATGAACAGAATAGATTTTCTTCTCTACAGACCCCCAGAGTTTCAAAAATTGTGACCACATGCTCAACATGACCACGTTTAGAAGTCTCAAAAATTCAAAGACAAAGAACTTATTTGCATTAGGTTACATGGTTACGAAAGAGGGAAAACAGGAAATTATTTTACTTAACCCAGTTTATTCTGTCTAGACCACATACCTACTAGAAATACAAGGGTATCAGTCACAATTGCAGAGTGCCATGCCCATAAAACTTTAAAGTTATATAAATGTTTCCAAGCAGTATGGTGTTAATGGTAACACTTGTGCTATAAAACAAATGTAAAATTAGCTGGGCATGGTGGTGCACACCTGTAGTCCCAGCTACTCAGGAGGTTAACATGGAAGGAATGCTTAAGCCCAGGAGTTTGGAGTTACGTGTGAGCTATGATCATACCACTGCACTTCAGCCTGTATGACAGAGCGAGATTCTGTCTCAATTAAAAAGCAAACTAACAAACTAATGCAAAGAAAGAAAAGCCAGAAAAAAGTCCTAAAGCTCTCTGCCTTATTTTAAATCTGATCAACACACTTGCTCCTATCCACTGGTTTCTGTTAAGTAGTAAAACCCTACTTACAGATTTTTGACTTAAAGAAGATACAATATTTTTTGAAATACAACTAAGTATATCCGTTAAAAAAAAAAGCACGTGTGTGTGTGTGTCTGTGTGTGTGTGTTGGGGAACTTCTGGTTTTACTGATTGGTGTCTTTTAACATAATGTCTTTAAAAACACAAGAAGGAATAGCCTAATAACTTACTCTGGGATGATGAAGGCAGGGAAAATGTAAGAAACACAGACATACATATCCACTTTATTTTGCTTTGCTTGGAAAGGACCATTTAAGATTAAACTAAGATTCAGTCTATGAAGTTGAGCCAAAGGGCCACACTACCAAGAGGGTTATATGAAGTTAGCTTTGTAAAGCTATTTTTGTTAGGAAATTTAATTTCTCTAGTTCCCTTTCCCACGGTGAAATAAGGACAGGTCATTCTGTTAAACTGGGTTTTCACCCTGACTCTAGATTCTCAATTATACCTATATTCCAATCCAAAACGGCATCCTTTGACTTCCTTTCTAAGAACTCCTCTGCCCTCTTTCATTCTCTAGTCTCATTCTCTTTTAGCCTCTTGCTTCCCTCTTGTTATCCTTTGCTCCCCTTTCTTTTTCTTTCTTTCTTTCTTTTTTTTTTTTTAAGAGATGGGGTCTCACTATATTGCCCAGGCTGGAATGCAGTGGCTATTCACAGGCGCAATCCCAATACGGATCAGCACGGGAGTTTTGACCTGCTCCATTTCCAACCTGGGCCAGTTCACCCCTCCTTAGGCAACCTGCTGGTCCCCGCTCCCGGGAGGTCACCATATGGATGCCAAACTTAGTGCGGACACCCGATCGGCATACCGCACTACAGCCCAGAACTCCTAGGCTCAAGCAATCCTCCCACCTCAGGCTCCCAAGGAGCTGGGACTACAGGCACATGCCACCGGACCCAGCCCTTGCTCCCCTTTATCTCCTATCACCCTACTTGGCAAAAACATTATCTATCTAAAACTTGGTTTAGAAGAGAAAATCCAAAGGAGAGCATGGAGGATAAAGGATCAGTTAAGAAATACACACTATTGGGCTGGGTGTGGTGGCTCAAGCCTGTAATCCCAGCAGTTTGGGAGGTTGAGGCGGGTGGATTGCGAGGTCAAGAGATCGAGACCATCCTGGTCAACATGGTGAAACACCGTCTCTACTAAAAATACAAAAAATTAGCTGGGCATGGTGGCGCGTGCCTGTAATCCCAGCTACTTGAGAGGTTGAGGCAGGAGAATTGCCTAAACCCAGGAGGCAGAGGTTGCGGTGAGCCGAGATCGTGCCATTGCACTCCAGTCTGGGTAACAAGAGCGAAACTCTGTCTCAAAAAAAAAAAATAATAATAAATAAATGCTATTGGTCTGAAGGGTCTCCTAGAGAGACAAGACTTAGCAGTAGTTTGAGAGTCAAATAGTAAGAATTGTGAACAAGGATTGTTGGAGAAGGACAGGGTTTTGAGTAGAGCCCTGGATAAGCCCCCTATTTCTCAGGGGAGTTGGTAAGCACCACAAAACCAAGCTGAAAGGAAAAAGAACACTCTACCACTGGCCTTTTTCCGAGCGTGGCCGCCTTCCGCTCGGCTCAGTGCCCGCCACATGCCCAGGAGTGCGTCTGGATCCTTGAGGGGCGCCCTTCGCAGGTGGACAGTGCTTACGCTATACTGCAAAAGAGCCAGAAAAGTGCCCATGAGAACCAGAAAGCAAACTTCCAGCCAGCAGTATCATCTCTTTAGGCATCTAAGGTGGGGATATCAATACAGATAACTAGGCAGCATCCGAAAGCCAGGTAAGGTGAGGAAGAGATAATTTCCCCCCATTCTCTGTTCAACATAATGGTGGTAGAAGGGAAGAAAAATGTATTCTCTGTGACTATCTACTGGGAACTAGATAAGGCCAAATGACAGGGGAAATGTCTTTATTTCTAATAGGCAAAAAGAAATAACTAAAAGAAGAAAAGGACCAAGGGTCTAAATCTAGTTATATAAGGAAGGCTGTGCATGCTGTCATGGAGAATTAAAAGCTGCTGAATGAAAGCAACCCATTCCACCAGTTGGGTAATGCCATTCTTAGAGGAAAGAAGAGAATGAAGAAGAAAAAGAGGGAAAGAACTTCACTCTAAAATATAAAAAAGTAAAGCACAAATACACCAAAAATAAAAGACTGACATTCTCAAAAGATGGTAATTCTCATGATCTCACCATAAATCAGACAAAAACAAAAGAGAGTTGACGAAGCTGAGTACAGAATATGAGATTCTGACGTAAGAGATCTTTGGTGGTTCGTAACCTCTCCAGTCATTTTAACTACTATGTTTATAAAGTGCTTAATGAACCTGCCTATTAAACAAAACAGAATTAGAAAGAATGCTCTAGACTCTTAGCAGTGAAACAACCAAAAAAGACTCTAACAAATCAAAAACTTTTTTTTCTTAAAATTTTTACCCTATTTAGGTAGAAGTAAATCTACAAACCTGATCAAACTTAAAATCTAAATCTTCCTAAGAAAAATGACAGGGTGGCTCATCCCTATAATCCCAGCACTTTGGGAAGATCACTTGAGGGCAGCAGTTCAACATCAGCCTGGTCAACACAGCAAGACCCCATCTCCAGAAAAAAGTTTTAAAAAATCAGCTGGGTATGAACACGTGTTTGTAATCACAGCTACTTGAGAGACTGAGGTAGGAGGGTTGCGTGAGCCCGGGAGTCGGAGGCTGCAGTGAGCTATGATCACGCCACTGCACTCCAGCCAGCCTGGGTGACAGAGCAATACCCTGTATCTTAAAAAAAAAAAAAAAAAAAAGAAAGAAAGAAAAACAAAGGTTAACAATTATCTGCAGAATACTGTTTACCATAGTAACTTCCAAACTTTCTTTCTTTCATTTTTTTGAGATGGAATTACCTCTTCTTGCCCAGGCTGGAGTGCAATGGTGCAATCTTGGTTCACCACAACCTCCGCCTCCTGGATTCAAGAGATTCTCCTGCCTTAGCTCCTGGGATTACAGGTGCCTGCCACTGAACTCAGCTAATTTTTTGTATTTTTAGTAGAGACGAGGTTTCACTATATTGGCCAGTCTGGTCTTGAACTACTGACCTCAGGTGATCCATCTGCCTCTGCCTCCCAAAGTGCTGGGATTACAAACCACCACACCCAGTGACTTCCAAACTTTCAAGCAATGTTCTCAATTCAGGATGGGAGTGCTATCTGACGAAGGTGGTTACTGGTATCATCTCTTTAATTAGCCCTGTTAAATAGACTTTAAATATTCAGAGAGGTTTGCTGGGTTTCTTCCAGATTCCAAGTGATTAGGGAAAATAGCAAGCACCGGGACTCAAGAAAATCATTCTGGCTGGGCACAGTGGCTCATGCCTGTAATCCCAACACTTTGGGAGGGCAAGGTGGGCGGATCACCTGAGGTCAGGAGTTTGAGACCAGCCTGGCTAACAGGGTGAAACTCCATCTCTACTAAAAATACAAAAATTAGCTGGGCGTGGTGGCATGTGCCTGTAATCCCAGTTACTCAGGAGACATAGGCATAAGAATCACTTGAATTCAGGAGGTGGAGGTTGCAGAGAGCCGAGATCGTGCCAATGCACTCCAGCCTGGGTGACAGAGTAAGACTCCGTCTCAAAAAGAAAAAGAAAATCATTCCAGGACACCAGGCTGATGAAGCAACCTATCTTACCCTTTCAGACTGACATACTATATGAATCAAGTGGATCTCTCAAATACACACACTTCCTTGGCTTAAGAGAACAGGTGCCCATTCTGGAAAATGTGATAATTAAGTATAGCAATTTATTTCTTGGAAAATATCAGCTGGTATACTAAATGATCAGGATTACTCTAGGCTCCAGCAACCTTTACTTTCTAAGATAATTGCTTCTTAAAATCTCATATAGTACAGTTTGGTCACAGCATGTCAACTTCTCGTTTGCCTGTCCTTTTAACAGGGAGTTGACAATTGACCTGTGCCCTTTCCCCACAAATTAGATATTCTTCAACTTAATCTTCAAGACTGGGGGGTCATCACCTGGTAGCCAAGGAAGGTAATAAACCTTCTTGGCAAAGGAAACAGACCAGTCAATATTAAAGAACCATGTGGGACCAGTCTCCTACGTGATGAACTAATAAACAGCTCACGAAGACAGTGTGGTTATTTGAGAGGACAAAGGGACTAGATCTGGTTTAACCTGATCCTGGGCCCTGTGGAACCAAAAAAGGATCAAAAGATTACCAGAATAAAATAATAGTAGACACCAAATCCCAGATTTCTCATTAACTTCAAATTTTAAGTGTTTCCGACCTGGCAGGTTGGCTCATGCCTGTTATCTCAGCACTTTGGGAAGCCGAGGTGGGCAGATTGCTTGATCTCAGGAGTTCAAGACCAGCCTGGGCAACATGGCTAAACTCTGCCTCTACTAAAAATACAAAAATTAGCCAGGCATGATGGTGTATACCTGTAATTCCAGCTACTTGGGAGGCTGAGGCACAAGACTTGCTTGAACCTGGGAGGCAGAGGCTATAATGAGCCGAGATCATGCCACTGCACTCCAGCCTGGTCCACAGAGTAACGCTCTGTCTTAAAAAAAAAATGTGTTTCTAGAAAGCAAGGTTCTTTCTACTAGGATAAAACTAAACTGTGGGCTAGGTGTGGGCTCACACCTGTAATCCCAACACTTTGGGAGGCTGAGGGAGGTGGATCACCTGAGGTCAGGAGTTCGAGACCAGCTTGGCCAACATGGTGAAACCTCATCTCTACTAAAAATACAAAAATTAGCTGGGCATGGTGGCAGATGCCCATAATCCCAGCTACTCAGGAGGCTGAGGCAGGAGAACTGCTTGAAGCTGGGAGGCAGAGGCTGCAGTGAGCCCAGATTGCGCCACTGCACTCCAGCCTGGACGACAGAGTGAGGCTCTGTCTCAAAAAACAAAGCAAAACCAAATGTAAATGTGAAGCAACACCAAAGGAGTGGAAAGGAATTTGTCCATTTGTCTGCAGGAATGGCTCATCTTGCTCTGTAGGGCATTCTAATAGGAGTAGCAATGTCCTGCCAGTTTCATCAGGCCAGATAGTTGGCTAATTCCTGGCTGGAAAGCAAGGTGCTATGTTTTCATGTAAAGAAGGGTTGAGGCTGGTGAAGAAGAAGCCACTATATTACACCATGTTCACAAAACATCTGAGAGATTCTCTGAACCCAATTTCAAAGATAACTTGTTAAAGACCACAAGAGGAAGAAAGCAGACTGCATCTGAGGAATGGATTACCATTCTCCACCAAAAAAAGAGGCACAGAAGGGGGTAAATCTCTATAGTTTTTCGGATAAACATATGGAGCAAGACTACTTAAAAGACACAAACAGCCTCAAAAGGGTATGAAGCACTGGACTGAACTCGAGACTGATCCAACCCTCTAACCACATCCAAAATCTGAGTCATATGCTCCATTAACTAGACCAATGTCAGGTCACTGCATCAATGCCTTTCCATACTTGTCATTCTCATGGTGTGCCCAACAGCACATTACCAGTAAGTTATGGGGGAAAGGGAGGGTCAATATATTTCTCATCAGTGGCCTAGATAAAAATTCTGTCCTTTTGAAATTTAATTTTTCATTTAAAGACCCAAAAAGATGCCAGGTGCAGTGGCTCATGCCTGTAATCCCAGCACTTTGGGAGGCCTAAGTGGGAGGATCGCTTGAGTCCAGAAGTTTGAGGCTGCAGTGAACCCTGATGGCATCACTGCACCAAAGCCTATATGATAGAGTGAGACCCAGTGCCAAGAAAAAAAAAAGATGAATAAAGCGATGAATCACAGCTTCAGAAAAGACCTCAAGAACCTTATAATTGACTTTGCCTAGATGAGACCATAGCATTTGGCTAAAGTTGAAAAGATCAGAGCAGAAGTGGAGACGTTGTAAGACAGTTTAAACATGAGTCAAGGTCCACCTTTCTTTTTTTTTTTGAGATGGAGTTTCGCTGTTGTTACCCAGACTGTAGTGCAATGGCACGATCTTGGCTCACCACAACTTCCGCCTTCTGGGGTTCAAGCAATTCTCCTGCCTCAGCCTCCCGAGTAGCTGGGACTACAGGCCCACACCACCATGCCCAGCTAATTTTTGTAGTTTTGGTAGAGACAGGGTTTCACCTTGTTGACCAGGATGGTGGTCTCGATCTCTTGACCTTGTGATCCACCCACCTCGGCCTCCCAAAGTGCTGGGATTATAGGCGTGAGCCACCACGCCCGGCCTAGTCAAGGTCCACCTTTCTAACAAAGGTGCCACATATACCTTTGGGGCACCAGGAACACTGGGTACCACTCAGGGAAGGTTTAGTTAGGATGAATTTGCACCAGACTCTCAGCTTTATTCAGGTGGCAAATTGAATGTGATGAGGTTCCTTTGCTTTGTCACTCTTCCTTCCTCATACTCGAGGGAGACGGACGTGAATGTGCAGAAAGGAATTTTACTTAGAAGCCGATAAAAACTCCATGGTTCTCAAAAAGCTTTCTCCTAACCAGTGGTTTCTCCTCTTGTAGGATCTGGTATTTTATAAAACAATGACAATTACAACTGGGTCTTCAAAATGGTCCTTAGCCTATTAGATCCCAAATCTCAACATATTTCCAATAGAAGAAAATTGTTTTCAACAACTCTTTCATACTGTGAGAGAATATAAACTAAATTTAAGAGACATTTGTTCTAAATTCTTTTCAATAAAAATATGTCCAGTAGGAGAGTTAACTCAAGGTTTTGAATGTGATAGGTATGTGTGACGGGACAATTTCCCATACCTCTGATGAGGTATTTAAGGGAAATATTCCTGAGTTGGGAAATTCTGAGGATTTGGAGTTTCGGTGAAGCTCTGACCAGACAAGAGTTCTTACACAAAGACCAAGAAGATTTTTCCTTCTCTTGTTTCTGTATTAAATTGTTCTTTGTAGTAGCTACACTGAACCTGGTGAAAGGCTCACTCAGCAGGAAATTGATAGAAAATCTCGAACCCACAGTTTATTTTCTACTCCATCACTTTAAAGCACACAATAGAGGATGGAGACAAAGCATCAAAAACAAAGGATGATCAGGTCCTTCAAACAGAAATGCACAAAGGTATTTAACAAGGGCAAACTATTTTTAAAATAAACGGAAGTATGGTCAAGACGGTGAAGCAGTTGCATATGCATTTAATTTCTTGGAAAACATGAAGAGTACAAACAACCAGCTAGGTTTATAACTCACAGGCAGAAACTTGTTTGATGACATCTACTCGCTGATAGCCGCCTTCTCAAGGCCCTACTCTTCACCACTTCTAATAGCTGCCCCTACTCTTACCCCAGCACAATCGAGCTGGTGAAAAGAACAGCAAAAGACCTTGGTTTTAGACTCAAAAAATATTTCCCAGACCGCGCTACTTCCTCCAACAGCACCAAGTCTAGCTCCATCTCCGTCCCCAGCAGATTCTAGGCTCCATCTATCTTTTCGAGTCTCCACCCTCCCCCGCCAACCCCCAGGCTCCACCTCCCCCGACCCTATCCTTCAGGCGCGCCTCTCCTCTCTGGGACTTTCACAGTCACCAGCGACATCAACCTCTCGCTTCCTACTCCACCTCTCGGCATCCGGATCTCCAACTGGCTCAGGCTCCCCATGTCCCCTGCCGGTCCGGAGCTGCGGTCAGCGGATTGTGCGGCTGAGCCATCCTCGTGACGGTCCCGCCTCACTCACCCTCCGTCACCTCCAGCACCTTAATCTGTTCTTCAGCAGCCGCTCGCACCTCCTGTACTGGGGATAGGATCCCAGTGAGCGTATCCACCAAGGCCTCCTTCAATCCTTGTGCCACTGGACCCGGCAGCCCGGAGGCCGCACCAGCTGCCGCCGCCGCCGCCATCTTTCCTCCCCTCAGCCCGCCAGCCCCGCGGCCGGGACCCGCCACGGAATGACGGCCCCCGCGCGCGACCAATCCGCGAAGCCGCGCCTGCGCACCAGAGGCGGACGGGAGCGGGCGGAGGGCGGGGAATGAGTCTAAGCCTCCAGAGACAGCGCCTCCTGTTGCGTGAACAAGAACTGCACCTTTCTCTGCAAGGATCACTGGATTTATGTGGAAACTGAGCCCCAGAGAGGTTGAGGGGCTTTCCCAAAGTTGCACAGTAAGTTAGCAATCTCATTTGGAATAAGGGTCATGATATATGACTTTATATTTATGCATATTTCAGGTGTTACGAGAGAGGAGGCGGGATGGGAATGGATGTAGAGGGCTTTAAGGAGAGAGGTCTGGGTCACAAATAGCTAACCACACTTTTCCCCCCAAACACTGAAAAAAAGTTGGCTAAAGTGACTCTTTTCATCTTAGCCTCAGGAATCTAGAGAGGGGGAGAAGAAATTAAAGCAAATTGGGAAGTTTTTTTTTCTTTGAGACGTTGTCTCGCCCTGTTGCTGGTCCCTTGGTTTCCCAGTTTAGATGAGCCCAACCTCGAAACTGGAAAGTGGGTGGGCAAGGGAGAGCACCTGCATGTGAAAGGGTGTTTCCTCCAGAGTGAGTGCTGTATGTGACTATTTGAGAATGTATCTTATTTGTTGAAAATGTACAAATGTTTTTCCCTGAGAAATTAGGGCTGGACATTTAAGGGGTGTGGGAACAAGAGCAGTCTGATGATGTGGTTGTCAGTGGCTGGTTGTAGGAAATGGCCCACAGTGCAGAGCCACTCCTAAATAGTGAAGCAGGTGTAGAAGATGAGCACTCCGGTGAGGTGTTAAAAATGCAGGGTGTGGCCAGGCACAGTGGCTCACGCCTCTAGTCCTAGCACATTGGGAGGCCGAGGCAGGAGGATCACTTGAGCCCAGGAGTTCGAAAACAGTCTGGGCAACATGGCAAGACTTCATCGCTACAAAAAAATACAAAAATTGCTCAGGCATGGTGGCCTGCGCCTGTAGTCCTGGCTACTCAGGAGGTGGAGGTGGGAATTGAGCCCAGGAGGACGAGGCTGCAGTGAGCTGTGATTGCACCACTGCACTCCAGCCTGGGTGACAGAGGGAGATCTTGTCTCCAAGAAAAAAAAAGGCGGGGGGGGGGGGCGGGTGTGGTGGCTCACGCCTGTAATCCCAGCACTTTGAGAGGCCAAGGTGGGTGGATCACGAGGTCAGGAGTTCGAGACCAGCGTGACCAACATAGTGAAACCCCATCTCTACTAAAAATACAAAATACTAACCAGGCATGGTGGTGCACATCTGTAATCCCAGCTACTCAGGAGGCTGCGGCAGGAGAATTGCTTGAAACCAGGAGGTGGAGGTTGAAGTGAGCTGAGATCACACCACTGCACTCCAGCCTGGGCAACAGAGTGAGGCAACGTCTCTCAAAAAAAAAAAAAAAAAAAAAATACGGCAGGAGATCACTTGAGCCCGGGAGTTTCAGGCTGTAGTGCACGGTCATCACGCCTATGAATAGCTATTGCATCCCAATTTGGGCGACATATAGAGACTCTGTCTATAAAAAAATAAAATTTAAAAAAATGCAGGACAGAGTGTCAAGCATGTAGTGGCAGAAGGGATGGAATGTCGTTGGAGTGGGAGACTCTAGAGCAAACAGGAACAGGTAGTTTTTACTGAGCTGTTCAGGTTATGTGCCTTCAAAATGACTTCCAGGAACCCTTATCAAATGAGTTCATTCTCACATGGCAGAGGAAACCAGCTACCAGTTCCTAGGTCACTTGATGCTAGACTGATAACAATCAGGGATTAAGTCATCTCATCAGAAGATTATTTCAAAGGAAGGCTTTATTTATTGTTGAGTTGGGGGATCTTGCTGTGTTGCCCAGGTTGGACAGGTGATCCTCCCGCTTCAGCCTCCAGAGTAGCTAGAACTACAGGTGCACCCACTGCAACTGGCTTGAAGGGAGTGCTCAATATGCTTGTCACCTCGCATGTTAAAAGGATGGAGATAAGTTATGTTACTACGATTTCATAGGGAAAAGATTGCTTCTTGGACCCTTTAATTCCACAATGGGGAATGGTAAGACATATTTTCCTTCTTGAAGTAGCCAAGAGAAGCTGAACTTGATTAAACAGCTTCTTTCTAATAGGTCAGTTCACTTTTACCCCAAGAAGAAAATGGAGGAAAGTCCAGAGGGTGGTATGTTTTCAAAGACTGTGGCAACCCAGATGGAAGATTCCAGAGCCTTGATGTTTGGACTGGATGCTTTCAGTCCTGGTGAAGGTTACTATGTCCATAGTGTGCGAGCAGGGGTTCCCCCACCCCCAACCGAAGGAGTCTGGAGACGCTAGCTTAGGATTTCGGGATCAGACATTTCCAGGCAAGTGGGTTATGCTTCTGGGTCAGGCAAATGACCACAAGCAGTCTGACCTTGCCGATCAAGGAAAGGGCCACAAGATAAATAGAGACAGAAAACAGGCAGAGAGGGAGCTAGAGAGCCAGTGGACAATACAGGAGATAACTTTATTGAAACGCAAATGGCATTGAACAGATGAATCTTGCTGGGAGGAGACATGCCAGATGTACAGAGGGCCCAGATGGGGGTAGCCTCAGTGGTGATGAAGGCAGGCCTCTTCAGCTGGCCCTGGCATGAATTTAATTTTTAAGTAATTTGTTATTTAAAATGAATTACTGAGGGGACAGCCCAGCTCTCTCATGATTGTTACCGCAACTATATACAACAGTCTGCTTTCCAGATTCAGTTTCGCTTTCTCTACATTAGATATAAAAGGGAGCAGGTTGAAAGAGGAGAGGGTCAAATGAGAAAAAACATTAACACATAAACATACACATATCCTGGTTTGAGGTTTTTGCACCCAGTAACTTGAAAAAAAGCATTGCGAAAACTTCTGCCCACTCTCCACCTGAGGAACACCATGCATTTGAGAAACATGGACTGCCACATGAACGGTGCTGCCTCAAACAGTATGGAGGCGGAGAAGGAAGCTAGCAGGGGTTGGAATTCATTTTAAAAAAAGATTGTTTTGTTAGAAAAATCAAAAACAAAAAAGCGTTAGACAGTGGGAGCTGTTGCACAGCAGTAGCCCAGAGACTGGCTGCGATATGTGAGCTCTGCCTTGGTATCATCTTCGTGTCTTCAGGCATAGAGAAACGGCCGGGAAGCAGGAAGACCCCACTGGAGATGGCCAGAGGACCCAACATCAGCCTTCTGGGGACTGAGGAGGTGATTTTAATGGAATTATTTTATACTCACCTCCCCCAGGCTTTAGTCCTTCCTCTGAACACTTAGTTCCAGAGCTTAGGAGACCTATTACTAGTAATGTATTTTGCTTTGAGCTCTACCCCAGGGAAAATTGACAAACTTGAAACAAAACTAGTTCTAAACAGCCTCATCTTTCCCATGGCCCCATCAGCTATTTTGTGAGTTTGTAAAGATATGAAACTTTTTTCAGATTTTTTTTAAAAAAGGAACTTATTTGGCCAGGTGCAGTGGCTTATGCCTATAATCCCAGCATTTAGGGAGGCTGAGGCAGGCAGATCACCCGAGGTCAGGAGTTCAAGACCAGCCTGGCCAACATGGTGAAACACTGTCTCTACTAAAAATACAAAAATTAGCTGGGTGTGGTAGCAGCTACCCGTAATCCCAGCTACTCGGGAGGCTGAGGCAGGACAATCGCTTCAACCTGGGAGGCAGAGGTTGCAGTGAGCCAAGACTGCACCACTGCACTCCAGCCTGGGTGACAAAGTGAGACTCCTTCTCCAAAGAAAAAAAAAAAAGAGTTTATTCTATTGCCTTGGCTGAGTACTTCCATATCCAGGTCCTGGTGTGGGGAAAGAGAGGAGGAGCACAAGGATCGAAGTGCCAGGGCTGTGTCTTCATTATGCAGGACTCCTAATAGCTGAGCTGAGTGTGGATATCCCTTCTCGGGATACTGGAGCCCTACATTGTTAGCTGCTGTACAGAAGGAGGTTCTGGCCCGGTTCTCAGGCCCAGCAATGCCCTTTAAAACTCATAAAGGAGCAGGATGTTGCTGGGAGAACATGTTGTCATGGAAATACAATTTTTTTTTTTTTTTAACCTTTTCCATCCTATTACATAATCAGCTCAGAATAGATACAAATAATTTGGCAGAAGCGCAATCTGGAAGAGACCTCCAACTGCTTTCCTTGTTGAAGCCCCTTAGTGTGCCAGGTAGAAATTTCCGAGGCACAAGAATTTTCTTCTGAAGGTTGTATTCAACTAGGAACGATGTAAACATTTTCCTAACTTCCACACAAACGCACACATAACTTTGTTAAAAGAAATGGAGGAACAGAAAAACAAAAAAGCATGAGAAAGGTGACCTTGAAGTTAACGTTAAAGTCTGAATTATAACCTAGAACCTTCTTATTTTGGGCCCTAAAGCCTCTCAGTGTGGGAACTCCAATACTCTAAAGGGCTTTCCCTTTGAAAGAGCTGAATTTTGTGTGCATCATAGCACCAGGAGTTGATGGGTTGCTAATTCCCCTCACTGGAGTTTCTGACTCAGCAGATCTGAGATGGGATTGGGAATTCTGTTTCTAACAAGCTCGCAAATGCTGCTGATGCTGCTGGTCTCGTGCCATACTTTGGGAACCACTGCTTTAAGGAATGAGAAGCCAGGGGTCACTCACTCACTTCCATGACCACGCTTGTCACAGAAAATTCTCCGTGTAATCGTTAAGAAGATCCAGCATACTGGAAGGATCTAGTATACATAGGTTTAATTTCAAACTATCAAACTGGAAGGATGTAGTATATATCGGTTTAACTTTCAACTGTCCTCGTGTCCCTGCAGCTTTGGCATTTTGATAGGTGTCTTCCCTTCAAGGCTGCATCTTCCGGTTTACTACCACCTTTCCCAGATCTGTGGCCAGCAGTGCTGGCTTCCAGGGCTAGGCTGAGCAGACATGCACCCTGGGCAGTGGGGAGTGTCAAGCTGGTGGCCCCATATATCCATAGTCAGGTTGATTCAGGACTTACTAAAACATAAGGCTGATGGGATTGTAAGTATCATTGGCAGTATCATCAGGCTTTGGCCTTTGGGGAACAGTGTTCGCAAGACCATTTTATTACTATGGACTTATCAGTGGAGCCATGAGCCAGAACTTGTGAGTAGTATATCCATCTCTATGAATAAACCCTCTGCAAAAGCCCATTTTCCCATCCCATCACTGGGG